TTCAATGGCCGCCAACAGGGAACAACGCCCTTTCACCAGCAACACCACCCGAGCTGCAACTAGCATGGGTAGCAGCACGACAGCACCTCCCATCAGACGCTTATCCAGGGCCGAGATGGCAGAGYRCCRAGCCAAGGGCCAATGCTTCAACTGTGACGAGTTGTACTCAGCCGGCCACCGTTGCAAGCGGTTATTCTGTCTCCTAGTAGATGAGCTGGAGGAGGAAGAAGAGGAACAGGYGGCACAAGAACCTGAGATCTCCCTCCATGCCATCACTGGAGTCCAAAACTCCCAAACCATGCAGCTGTAGGCCCAGGTGGTAGGAAAAAAGGTACGGATTCTGGTTGACTCAGGGAGCACCCACAACTTTATCAGCAAGCAGGCTGCGCTCCGACTGAAGCTACCAATGGAAGACAGGCCGCGGCTCCAGGTGGCTGTAGCAAATGGGGAGAGAATTCACAGTCCAGGGATCTGCCAAAGCGTCCAAATCCAGGTGGATTCTGAACCATTCCTCGCAGATCTATTTGTACTGACCTTAGACGAGTTCGACATAGTGTTGGGGATTAAGTGGCTCATCACCCTCGGCCCCATCCTATGGGATTTCAGCGCCTTGACCATGACATTTGACTTACATGGGAAGCGGGTCACCTGGAAAGGGACCAAGATGAGAGCAAGGAAACCACAATTCATACTCTCCATGGCGACGCCTTACACACCGCGGAGATGGAGAGGCTTCTTGCAGACTTTTCAGACGTGTTCTCAGAACCTAGGGGCCTTCCACCTAGCCGGTCATGTGACCATCGGATCCCATTAATACCAGGGGCAGGACCCGTCGTCATGAGGCCGTACCGCTACCCGCACCTACACAAGGACGAGATAGAGAGGCAGTGTGTAGAGATGCTAGAACAGGGAATCATACGCCCCAGCCGCTCTCCATTCTCTTCACCAGTCTTGTTGGTGCCAAAGCAAGACGGCACCTAGAGATTTTGTGTGGACTACAGGGAGCTCAACAGTAGAACCATCAAGGACAAGTTCCCGATCCCGGTGGTAGACGAATTGCTAAATGAGCTCCACGGGTCTCAGTACTTTTCTAAGCTGGATCTCAGGTCAAGTTACTTCCAGGTCCGAATGGCCCCTAAAGATGTGGAGAAAACAGCCTTCCGAACGCATCACGACCACTTTGAATTTCTGGTCATGCCTTTTGGTCTCACCAATGCCCCATCTACATTCCAGGCCCTGATGAACGAGGTATTTCGGCCCCACCTCTGCAGGTTCGTCCTAGTATTTTTCGATGATATCTTGATTTACAGTACTTCGTGGGTGGAGCACATTTGTCACCTAAGGACAGTTCTGGAGCTGCTGCGACAGCACAAGCTCTTCCTAAAACGAACCAAGTGCTCCTTTGGAGAGCCGCAGGTCCGTTACCTAGGCCATATAGTCAGCAGGGAAGGAGTCTCGGTAGATAATTCCAAGATTCAAGCCATCCGGGAGTGGCCCAAGCCGCAAACCATCAGGGCTCTCCGCAGGGTCTTGGGGCTCACGAGATACTACCGCAAATTTGTAAGGGACTATGGACTCCTGGCGGCCCCATTGACCAAGATGTTGAAGAAGAATGCATTTCAATGGGATGAAGCAGCTAACACCGCCTTCACAAACCTAAGGGACGCACTCTCCACTACCCCCGTGCTGCAACTACCAAACTTTGAGCAAGAATTTACGGTAGAATGTGA